GAGCTTTAGATATGTCCCTTGACATTGTAGGGCTTGTCTACGTGATTATCGGATGCTGCTAACTATCTATGCGAAATAAGACCCATAAGGTCACCGATAGATCCGTGAGACCGGAAGCCGTACTGACGGTCAATAAACATCATGTTCTGCTCCAGGTAGCGGCGGAGTTGATCAGCAGTGACTGATTCCATAACCTTCGAAATAACTAATGTGACAGAGATGGGCAGTAGTAATTTAGGTAGGATTCGTCGCTTCGTTTGGGGATGAGAAATATCCCTGATGGATTGGAAATACCTTCAAATCCAGAGATAGAGAAAATAAATGGGTTAGGATAGAGGCCATTTTGAAGAGTAATCCCGCCGTGTTCAGGTGGCTTGTGTGAGTCCAGTGCAAGGAGGATCTCACATATCATTCCGGTGAAAATAAATGTTGTGAAAAAATGGTTCACTGGTACGGTACGTCGACCGTTAGAGAGATGATTCCAGTTGCGTAGACATGCAATGAAAATGAGAGGCAAACATGTCGGGTTTTTCAAGCAGATCGGACACTAAGTCGCAAGGTGGTTGGACAATGGTCACGAAGTGGGTGAAACACAAGTTATGGAAGACTGCCTTAGCGAGCGAGTAGTTAGTCCTCCTTCCAGAAGCAACGGTTGATACCTGAAAACATAGTTTTCCGTATGATTGTACAGTTGTTGCGGCTTTATAAGAATCATTGGCGGACCGAAGATTGGGAATTCCTTTCTGTTCTTAGAACCAATAACCATGCACTTCCGTGCGCCGGTTTTGGCTGCCCCTTTGGATAAAATAGAAGAATGATCATTCGAATGTTGAGAGCAGATTTAAGCGGAAGGTAGCGCATTTTCATAGACTGAAGTTACAAGAATAATGAGTAGATGCATGAGCGCCACTGTTCGCGGCACCCAGCAGCATATCACTCAGTGTCTCTTACCACCGGTGACCATGATCTCTGGGTCCCCAGCCAGGAACCCTAACCGGTCCTATGTGAGCCAGTTTCCTGGTCAGGGTTTTCAGACCCTCATGCCTCGGCAAGCATCACTCGCCGTAGCAACCTATCTGGTGACATGCGTAACACATGTCCCGACCAGCGTAATCTATGGAGGTCGAC